AGGACTCCTGTAGACCTGGGCCGCCGTGCTTGGCTCAGTCGTTAGTTTCAGCTGAGATGGAGAAATTACTATATTTATTAAAATGACACAATACTTGTGAAGTTAAGGCTTTTTTCTTTAAAATGTTAAGACTTATTTTTATGGGTATGAATGTTTTGCCAGCATATATAAATGTGTACTAATGCATGCCTGGTGTGTTTGGAGGGCAGAAGAAGGCATTTAGATTCTCTGGAACAGGGGTTCCCGGTGGCTGTGAACTATTCTGTGGGTGCTGGGAACTAAGTGGGTGCTTGCAAGAGCAACAAGTGCTTTAACCACTGAGCCATCTCTCCAGCCCAGAGACTTTGTCCTATAACTAGAGATGTAGACTAGTCTGTTGTTAATAGTCATTAAAGTATTCCAGTAAAGCACTGTTCAGAACCTTTAAACAATGTTAGTTCTTCCAATTCTTTGTTGGTTTCCTTTTCTTGTGAAGGTTATTTCTTTTTAAATACATTTTCTTCCTAGTGGTTATCTCCTTTCTTCTTCCCTTCCGTTTCCCTTCCCCTCCCCTCTCTCTGTTCTTTGAGTCAGGGTCTGGTTAAGTAGCCCAGGCTGGCCCTGAACTTGCAGCCCTCCTGCTTCTGCCTCTCATGTAGCTCGATGAGAAGTCTGTCACCAGGAGTGGCTCCATCGGCTTTTTCAAGCCCTGTTTTGCTTAGACACACTGATTTTCAGATCTCATTTGGATTAAAATAGAAATGTTTATCATGGGTTGATGGGATTATGAGAGACTTTTGCTGTTGGAGGTGGGAGAGAGTATAAATTGAACTTTTCAAAAAAGACTAAAGAAAAATTGTGTGTGTGTGTGTGGTGTGTATGTGTGTGGTGTGTGTGTGTGTGTGTGTGTGTGTGTGTGTAGGGGGGGAGGTGAGTGCAGGTGCCTGTGGAGACCAGGAGGTGTTGGATCCCCTGAAGCTGAAGTTACAGGTGGTTGTGAACCTGTGGTTGCTGGGGACTGAACTACCTGGGGTAGAGGAGGAAGAGCTCCGAACTGCTGAGCCGTCTTTCCAGCCCTTCAAAGAAACTTTCTATACGTACTTTCTTTAAGTCAGAAACTTGAAAAAGCTTAACTGAAAGTGGTAAAACTGAAGTTTGTTTTGTGGCCGAGGTACAAAGGTGCTGTTTGGGGTAGAGAAGGAATGACAGACTCTAAGTTTGGTTTCTGAGTTCAGGGTCAAGACCTCATTTTTCTACCTTTCTCCCGTTCCTTGAGCACTTATTGGATGTATTGCATTTGTGTTTTTAAACTCACATGATGATATGTAAACCAGGAAGAAGCCTTTTTTAATAAACGTGTTGCAGTTAAGCTGGGGGTTTTGTTGATTTTTAAAAATACCCTGTTTGCCTGGTGAAGAGAGATTGGGTATGAGGGCTGTGGTTTTGTGTGCCAACTTCTAATTTACATGACTGAAGTCCTCATTGACTGGCAGAATACAGGGGACATGCACCTTTTGTAAGTTTACTTCGGCACCTTAAAGAAGAGTATTGTCAGGTCTCTGAAAAAAAATTTATTTAAAATTCTATTTGAGATTTTATTTATTTTTATTTTATAGGTGTATGGGTGTTTTACCTGCATGTATGGTATGTCTGTGTACGTGTGCGTGTGCGTGTGCGTGTGTGTGTAAAATGAAGGGTGTTAGATATGAGACTGGCAGTTGTGGGACACCACATGGATGCTGGGAATTGAACCCAGGTCCTCTAGAAGAATAGCCAGTGCTCTTAACTGCTGAGCTATCTCTCCTTTTTATAAAGATTTGATTTTGTATTAAGTACTCATGTGTGGCCATGGAGGCTAGGGATGGTAGATCTTCTAGACCTAGAGTTTAAGGCAGCTGTGACCAAACTGTGACCGTATGATTCTGGGGTTTGTTTTGTTTTATTTGTGACTGGCTCTCACTTTGTAGCCATGCTGGCCTGGAACTCTGCTCTGTAGACCAGACAGACAGAAAACTCAGAGAAACCTGCCTGCCTCTGCCTCTGAAGTGCTGGGTGTATAAGGAGTCAAAGGCTGTAGGATTTTTGATGAACTATTTTTCCCCACCTAATTAATCGAAGGATTTAAATACCAAATCCTTCGATATCAAACAGTTCTTTCCCCCAGTGGAACTATTTTTATTTTAATCCTTTAAAAATATCTTCTTGGCCCCATTAGGCAACAGAATAGAACTAAACATGATTTAATCTTTTTGTATTGAGTTAGGACTGCTAGTATGTGCTCTACCACTGGAGAGCTGGTGGGAGATACAGAGGAACCTGGAGAGAGGTGAGGGTGTCATATTCCCTCACCTCTCCCCTTTTCTCCCTCACACTTCGTGCGGGGGGTGGGGGGTGGGGGGGCACCCCCACCCCACCCCCTCCCACCCCCCCACCCCCCGTTACAATTTGCTTTTGAAAGTAGAGGGACAGCCAGGTGGGGCATAGTGACACATGCCTGTCATCCTAGGTGGGAGACTAAGAAGTTCAAGACCAGTCTGGAGTACATGAAAATCTGTCTCAAACAATGACAGGAGCCAAAGTGAGGGAAAGGTGACTTGTCCCATTTGCTGGTTAGGTTGGAAAATACCACTTAAATTTTTTTAAAGAAGACAGTTTTCTTAGCATATGGAAGAAGGCCTTGGTTTTGACACTGGTCTCTATTACCTGACTTTTTCTGGAAGTCCTCCTAGCCTCCCTTGCTTGTCGGTCAGCATATTTGAGTTCTGTCATGACGGCTACCTAAATGTTCATGTAGGGACATACTTTGTGTGGTGATTGATTGATTGATTGATTGAGACGGTGTCTGGACTGGGCTTTCAGTCCTCCTGCCCCAGCTTTCCTAGTGTGTGGATTCCAGGTGTGTGCCATCATG